CTCCACCCTAATAGCGATGGCCTCCACCCTAGTAGCGATGGCCTCCAACCCAAAAGCGAGGACCTCCACCTGAATAGCAATGGCCTCAAACCTAATAGCGATTGCCTCCACCCTAGTAGGGATGGCCTCCATCCTAATAGCGATGACCTCCAAACTAATTGGCAATGGCCTCCAACCTAAAAGCGATGGCCTCCACCCTAATCTCCAACCTAATAGCGATGGCCACCCCAACAGCAACGGCCTCCCTTTGCAGGTCTCGAGTTGGAGATGAATTCCTGCCGTTCGCAGCTTTTGCAATGCGAAGCTTTACGGAAGAAGGTCTATCGTGATCTGGGCGACGAGCTGGAAGACAAGGCAGGCAGTGTGGGGTGTCGGTAGGAAGCTTGTTTGGTTTGTGGCCAAGTAGACCTTTGACGATCAATTTTACGCTTGGGTCGGTGCTGATGAGTATGGAAGAATTTTGGGAACATCCTAAAGCGCTTGTCTTTGGGTGGTACCACTGAAGGATTTCTCTGCAAAGCTGTTTTTGTCATTTCTTGTAGAAGCTTGCATGGATGCCTTGAAAACACTAGGTACTCATGGAATCTCATGGAGTTGTTTTTGGAAAGACCCGGGAGGAGTTTTCAAACGAAGGAGAACATCCTGAGATCTAGAGAGTTCATCAACCGACTGGTGTCCATGTTCATGAAAATCTCCCAGGAACCATGCATCAAATGGAAAATGGACAGGCAACCCAATGGGCTAGATAGTCTCCAATCTACGCATTCCAAACATTGGCCACCCACCAAAGTCTCCTGGAACGAAACTGCAAAGTGCAAAAGCTCAAAAATCCTAGTTGCCTTCAACAAGAGGTTGCTACTAGGAGCAAAGGGCATTGCTACTACGAGCAAGGACGCTACTAGGGGCTCCTGGCCATACTACTATAGTAACAAGAAGCAATCAGAAACAAGAGTTGAACAGAATTAGAATTAAAAGTTATCTAAATTTAATTGAAATGCAATTAGAATTGAAACAAGAAACTACTAGGAACAAGGGCATCGCTACTAGGAGCAAGAAGCTACTAGTAGCTCTTGGCATTACTACTGGTAGCAAGAAGCTACTAGGAACAAGGGCATCGCTACTAGGAGCAAGGACACTACTAGTAACAATAAAGCTACTAGGAGCAAACCCATAGGTCGCTTGGATGAGGTTGCTGTCCGTTCTTGACATTGAAAGGTCTGGGAGAATTTGAAGGTGAACTTGAGGGAGGAAGTGATGGACGCTTTGAAGGACACGTCGCTTGACAAAGATGTGCAGAGAGAGAGAGAGAGAGGAAATGGATTCAGTCAGGGGGGCGCAATCAATGTGGATGGCAACGGCCAAGCGGTGTGTCTTGGTGCGTTTTGCGAGGCAGCTTTGTTTGCTGCTTCAAATGTTCCTCTTTGCTTCCACTTGTGTTTGCGGGCTTTCTGCCTGAAAGTTGTTGGAAATTGGAAAATATGAAAACATGAGAAACACAATTAAGTTTTAAAAAAAGAAGACAGTAAAAATAAATCATGTCTTTCGTTTTGTCATTTTTATCTTATCCATTTTCGTTCGGAAGAACAATGCCGCAATGAGAGGGGAGCCGCAATGTGTTGTCTGAGGCTCGAGAATGAGGTCCGTGCCTCCCTGGCCAAAGAGCTGGGCAAGGACATGGACATCGATGGCATCGAGCAGGACGAGGACATCAAAACAACAGCCTAACAATGATTTTTCTACCAGCAAGAAGCTCCCAGTAGCTCCTGGTAGTACTACTAGTAGCAAGAAGCTACTAGCAACAAGGGCATCGCTACTAGGAGCAAGAAGCTACTAGGAGCTCCTGGCATTACTACTAGTAGCAAGAAGAGACTAGGAACAGGGGCATCGCTACTAGGAGCAAGAAGCTACTAGGAGCTCCTGGCATTACAGTAGTGGTAGCAAGAAGCTACTAGTAGCTCCTGGCATTACTACTAGTAGCAAGAAGCTACTAGGAACAGGGACATCGCTACTAGGAGCAAGAAGCTACTAGGAGCTCCTGGCATTACTAGTAGTGGTAGCAAGAAGCTACTAGTAGCTCCTGGTAGCTCCTGGCATTACTACTAGTAGCAAGAAGCTACTAGGAGCAAGAAGCTACTAGTAGCTCCTGGCAATTCTACTAGTAGCAAGAAACTACTAGGAACAAGGGCATCGCTACTAGGAGCAACAAGCTACTGGGAACAAGGGCATCGCTACTAGGAGCAAGAAGCTACTAGTAGCTCCTGGCAATACTACTAGTAACACGAAGCTACTAGGAACAACGGCATCGCTACTAGTAGCAAGAAGCTACTAGTAGCTGTTGGCATTACTACTAGTGGCAAGAAGCTACTAGGAACACGGGCATCGCTACTAGGAGCAAGAAGCTACTAGTAGCTCCTGGCACTACTACTAGTAGCGAGAAGCTACTAGGAACAAGGGCATGGCTACTAGGAGCAAGAAGCTATTAGTAGATCCTAGCATTACTACTAGTAGCAAGAAGCTACTAGGAACAAGGGCATCGCTACTAGGAGCAAGAGGCTACTAGGAGCAAGAAGCTAGTAGCTGTTGGCATTACTAGTAGCAAGAAGCCACGAGGAACAAGGGCATCGCTACTAGGAGCAAGAAGCTGCTAGTAGCTCCAGGCACTACCACTAGTGGCGACAAGCTACTAGGAACAAGGGCATGGCTACAAGGAGCAAGAAGCTGCTAGTAGCTCCTGGCATTACTATAGAAGCAAGAAGCTACTAGCAACAAGGGCATCGCTACTATAGGAGCAAGAAGCTACCTGAACACAGGGACCCAAGGCGAACGGTTTAAGATGGAAGACTCAACTGATGAACATTCATTGGCCTGTTTGTGAGCTCACGCTTCCAGAATCTAATTGAATGCTCCCATCAAAAAAGTGTGGTGAAAGCTTCTTGTGGTTCCCCTATGGTTCTTTTTAGAATTATCATTCTAATTCAAGTTCAATCAAATTCATTTCAAATTCAATTCTAGTTAAATTCAATTCCAATTCAATTCAAATTAAATTCAACTCTAATTTAATTCCATTGTAATTAAATATTTATTCAACGCTCAGTAACTTTAATTCTATTGAATTAAATTCTAATTCAATTCTAATTAAATTCAAGTCCAGTTCAAGTCTAATTCAAGTCTAATTCTAATTCAATTCTATTTTTCAATTCTAACTCAATTCAATTCTAATTCAATTCAATTGGGGTTTCCTTCATAAAAGTTTGGTGAAGGCTCCTTGTGGTTCCCCTGTGGTTCTTTTAGGGTTTCCGTCACGAAGGGTGAATTTCTGGCGATGTTCAACCCATGGGGCGATGAAGACACCGGTTCTATCGCAAGCGTACTACCAGCGTGGCACTTGTTACTAATAGCTTCTTGTTACTACAAGTAGTTCCCGGCAAGCCGGCGATTGGAAATGGGCATGTGGCAGGCTGATTCTTGTTACTAGAAGCGATGTACTTGTTACTACTAGCGTGGCACCTGTTACTACTAGCGTATATGTAGCACCAATAAAACGTGGCGGTGCGGTGTTGGCTTGGTCAACGGGATCGATTTGTATCTCGGATTGTTTCACTCCGAAAGAGTCGTTGAGCAGTTCTAGAAGGGTCGGTCACAAGAACCCATCTACCACGCAACACCTCGTATGGAACTTGAGACCTCCCAACAAGCTCAAACGACTGCCAAAAAAACGACAGCCCAAATTTGCTTGAGGAGGAGATCTTTGAGGAGGATGAAGAATATGAGGAGGAGGAGGAGGACTTGGAGGACGAGCTTCAAAAAGACAAGGAGTTGGATCAAAAGGCCGCGCGAGAGGTGGAGGCTGTGACTCGCATTCGCATCATGGATGCTGTGAGGCTGCAAAAAAAAGTAGACAAGGAGTCAGATGAAAAGGCTGAGGAAGAGGCATAACCATTACGGGTGACACAACCTGCTTGGACGATCATGTCACTGTTCTGAAAAGGCTATCAACCCACTAGGTTAACGCGTGAGCTACCAAGAGTCAAAGGTGATTTCCCAGGGGCCATCGCTATTAGGTTGGAGGCCATTGCTATTACGTTGGAGGCCATTGCTACTAGGTTGCTATTAGGTTGGAGGCCATTGCTATTGGGTTGGAGGCCATTGCTATTAGGTTGGAGGCCATCTCTTCTAGGTTTGAGGCCATGTTAATTAGGTTGGAGGCCATTGCTATTAGTTCATGTTTTAAGTTCCAAGGTGACCTCCAAGTTCCCCAGCTTAACGGCAGACGCCAAGCAGCGCGCCGAGAGAGAGGTCACCAGGGGGTCCGGCCGGGCGAACGGAACTGGGGTCCCTTTTGGATTCTGAACCCGAAATTGGCGAAACGAATCGGCGTCCTTGCTCCAAGTAGCAATGCCCTTTGCTCCCAGTAGCGTCCTTGCTCCTAGTAGTACGGCCAGGAGCCCCTAGTAGCGTTCTTGCTCCTAGTAGCGATGCCCTTTGCTCCTAGTAGCGTTCCCGGGCTCATTTTTCTCAACAGAATCGAAACGAAAGAGGAGGGTGAAGGGGAGAGCTTCGTACGATTGCGCAAGCGACGGCAGTGGATGGCGAATTTGGCGAGGGTGAACAGTGCTTTAGGGAGGTTGGAGACCATCGCTCTTAGGTTGGAGCCATTGCTATCAGGTTGGGGCAAAGGGCAAAGGGTTGTCCGGCTGAAATTTGTGGCAGAATTTGACCGTGAAATCTGTTTGGTGCCCTATTTGATGGATACTTCCGATGGGATTCCGTTTTGAACAGACCCCTTCTTTAAACATCAAAGCAGATCAGCTTGCTCTCAGTTTGCGCAAAGTTCTGATGTCAATTCTCAGATGGTTTTTGTTTATTCCAATGATGGATAGAGGGTTCAGAAGAAAAAGATTTCTGCCAGAACCCCTGCTGGCACTTCTCAAATAGGGTTCCTCCAAGGTGTACAAGGTGACTATCCCTCATTGACTTGACCCTGTGTCGATTCTCAGTCACTCAGTCCGAGCTCAAGCACTTCTTTGCACCTCCGTTCAGCCATCTATTAGAAACAAGTGCCACGCTAGTAGTAACAGGTGCCACGCTAGTAGTAACAAGAAGCTATTAGAAACAAGTGCCTTACTAGTAGTA